TTCGAAATATGGTGAAAAAGTTATAACAATTGTCAGCCCCGTGAATATTGTTATCGTTCTCATGTAACATTTAAAATATCTGACTTACGATATTTCAGGACTCACAAATGTGATGTGTCATCGTGAATGTACAATCATTTTCTGAATCGAGTAGTGGTGAAATATAAGTTTTGAACTGCTGCACAGATGTTGCCTCCATCATATGTTCAGGCAAACTGTTCCAGATATTTACCACTCTTTTTTCGAAGCACATTGGGTGGGGAACACATTTCATATCCGGCACGACAATTTGTATCTATGTCCGCGTGTGCTGCATGGTCCTCGTATGTCCAGCATTGGCCTCAGCATGGGGAAATCACCCAGATGTGGAATACAGTAGGTCATAATGAGGTCGACTTGCACCCGACGGTAGGACAAGGTGTAGAGTCCTAGTTTCTCGCACCGGTCTTCATACCCTAAGCCACGTAAAATCGGGATGAGCCTGGTAGCAACGTGTTGGACCTGTTCGATCTTTTGTGCCTCGCCTCGGGTAATCGGAAAGTAGGCGGGCGAACCGTACTCTAGCATTGGTCTAATGATAGAAGAGAACAAGCGAGTGGCAACCTCTTCAGACCATGTGCCGAAGCTACGTTTGAGCGCCCAAAGCATGCGCAGTCCCTTACGATATAGCCTGTTCGTGTTGTCCACGGACTTCAAAACGTAGCGTGAGAGTACACCTAGGTCTTTCACGGAGGGTGTGGGATATAGCGGTTAGCCGTCAAGAGTGTAGTTTCGGCTGTCTGCACCCCCAGGCTTATAATTACAGATTTGGCTGGGTTGACCGGGAGATGAACTGCTGCAGACCATTGGATAGAGGGTTGAGGTCTTGCTGAAGTAGATCACAGTCGTCAAGAGCGTCGATTTCTCTCCAAATCTTCATGTCTTTCGCAAACTAGGCACACGGTGACCGGAGAAGCTAAGGTAGATTGTTGATGTGGATCAGGAACAGAGTGGGCCCCAGCACAGTGCCTTAAAGCACGCCACTTATAGAGGAGTACCAGTCAGTTAGATGCTCATCGACCTGTACCCTCCACTTTCGTCCAACAGGAAAGTCTCTGATCCACCGGTGCACTGAGCAACGGACGTCACACATCCTGAGTTTGTGAAGGAGAACCTCATGGCTGATGTCGAACGCTTTGCTGAAATGGATGAATATCACGTCGACGGACTTCCCCTTGTTTGTTGCGTTCAACCACGCATGCTTCGTCACAAGCAAGTTTGCAGTGAATGAGCGGTCTTGCATGAAACCGTGCTGTGCGGGCGTCAGGACCTCTTTTGATTGTAGCAACTGCAATAATCCCTTTTTACGATTTTCTCAGCAAGCTTTGCCAAAATAGGTGTCAGACAAATTGGCCTGTAGTTGTCTACTTTGCTAGGGTCGCCGTCTTTCGGAATAAGCTTCATCACCGAACATTTCCAGTCAATCGACAACGAACCTTCGGACAGTGACCTGTTGTAAAGATCAGTTACGACAAGAGAGATGATAGCCGAAAGTGACTTGAGAATCAGTGGATGGAGCCCATCGGGTCCCGCAGGTTTGGTGCCGTCAAGACTGGCGAGTAGTTGATGTACTTCTCAAACGCCGCAATCCAGACTGTCGCGCTCGGTAAAACCGGTGCACGTCGTACTCTGAACAGACACCTGGGCATTTGCAAATACAGAAGCCAAGTGTACCGCCAACGCGGACGCACGCTCAGTGCTGGAGGTTAGGGTCTGTTCATCCGGGCCATCCAGCACTGGCACATCACCCGCCGGCTTCAGGCGCCGCTTCAAGTAAGCAGTGATTCTCTTTGGGACTCTTTTGCGACGATTGCGAGCTGGTCTTCGAAATGTCTGCCCTTATTCCTTCTCGCACTGTTGCAGAGGTTCCGCTGACATTTTTCCGCCTCGTAATTTTTGGCAGAGCCAGAGAGGAGGAATGTGTCTCACAGTCTGCGCCGCCTCCGAGCCATATTTCCATACTCCTTGTCTAACCCATTAGGCTTAATCGGTCCAACCTTCCGACACTACAAGAGTACAAATTGGGAACACAATGACGTCAATCTCTCTTTTGTAAATGTCCAACAGTCGTCCACTTTTAACAGAGACCAATCCATTTGGCTCCCATCTCTAGCAAGACCGCCGAGGTCCGTTTTCCAGTAGTTGTATGCTGGCTCCAGCGGACCTGTGTACTGCAAAGGTAATTACAAATCAGCTTTGAGCACTGAGTGGTCGCTTGTAGCCAGGTGCTCCAGGATCCGAACGTCACGCACTCGTTCGTAACTCATTAACATCAGGTCGAAACAGCACGGGGTTGAGCGTGGTGTTATGCGTGTTGGCTGGCATATGTGTTGCGATGCACCAGTTTCAAGTAGTAAATCCACGAACTTTGCTTCAACCTCACTATGTCCAGGCATCAAATGCACATCAGGTCATCGTATTCGAGGACAGTTAAAATTGCCCATAAGTAGGAACTGTTTTGACTCATGTGGGTTCGAAGATGTGGCAGCCAATCCAAACAACGACTCAGGCGCTGCGATAGACTGCGCCCACAAGTAGTTCTCCTCACCTAAGACGGATGTAGCACGACAGTAGCTCATACAAATTGTCGTCACTTCGGTACGTGCTCACAAATTTCCCGCGCAGGGAATACCAGATGTAAAGCAAGGCACCACCGCGCGCATTCCTTAGTCTATCGCATCAGGGGCACGGGTAACCATTGTGTTCAAGTTTCTGGATGTAAAACTCTGAATGCTGCATAATGTCTGCGAGTCCCACTACGTCTTGCCGCTCAGACGCAACGATGCACTAAATCTTATCGCGCGTGTTCCCAACACTGCAAACGTTTGTGAACGCTACTAGCGGGCCGCAGCAGGATTCGCCGGGCGTGCTGGGAGTGTGAGCATCCTGTTTATCCTGATTCGCAGATTGTTGGCAACCACCCAAAAATTTACGATACGACGATTTTTTTACGCTTACCAATACGTCTTTTCAGCTCAATGATGGCAAACTTGAGCAGTTCCCCGTCTACTGGCTCCAGGTCTGGACGAACATAGATCTTTAAACCTTTCAGCCTGCTTGGGCGGGACATGATCAGTCCTGAACTGGCTTCGTCCGCAAAACTGATTCTCATAGGCCATTTTTTTGATCATCTTGCTTTCCAAGACGGGTACTTTGTCTCACATTTACCGAATCCGCACCCGCGCAGAGGCGTCCGTCAATTAGACTCTGTAAAAACTCGACATCGTGATCGTAGCGCATTTGCGGTGATGTATAACTGGACTCCGGCGCGTGGAAGATCACGAGGTTATAACGCCCCTGGTCAGGCGAGGTTGGCCTTGCAGGGCGAAGTGTATCACCAGCCTCACGTGGTTTGGCTAACTGTTGACTTACAGAATTTAAGCGCCGAACATCCTTTCGTAATTTCGTTCCTTGTTCTTTCCACTGATCTTCGGCACTCAGACTTTCACCTGCTTGGACATCAGTGCTCATTGGACACAATACAGGGAAACAATTTATGCCGCGTGAAACTGGGGTTCACACAATGGTTGAACTTCGTGCCGCGGTGAGTTTGCACGGGTAGAAGAGGAAGACTGAGCTGAAACCTGAAAGCTCTTCGGACTAGGTTGTTTGGCCAAACACACGGAGCTGCTCGCAACGGAATGATGAAGCCTACACGTCGTCTTTACTCTTCCTGGCTATGTCTTCTTTCGGCAATTTTCACATAAACTTTAAACGAGATCATGTTGGATTTCACGAAGACGGTGAAAATGCTCAATTGATAATCAAACACACGAAATGTGGTATTTGACTTTGCACAAAGCACGCGTGAGGGCATTTGCACGGCATTCGACTATCTTGGAACAAGTACCACAAGCTGATTGCTTCTGCATTGTGAATACTCCGAAAAGAAGATGGCGGCCAATTGCTAGAGCAAATGGCGATAGTAAGATCGCCGAAACCAAGTGATGAAAACACAAGTATTTCTGGTCGAAAATTTCCGATTCAGAAATGCAACTGAATTGTATTTAAATTTCCACGAAATACTTCCAATGAACCATGCAATCCAACACAAAATGATCTTGTCAATACAGCCAAAAATAGCCGACCGGTGGCCGCTATCCGCACCACATTTACCTCATTGTCCCAAATGGTCATCCATTTCGTAAAAACTATTATGCACCTCACTCTGAGTATTCACGCGTCCTCAGGCAGGGCGAAAATTATACCGCCGCCCCAAGCGGCAAAAGTGGTCGCTACGCCACAGGGTAGGGTAAGATGATATTCCAACGACAGCACCGCGGAAAAAACCGAGCTTAACATTGGTTCCCTTAATGATATGTCAGGTCTACCGACATTCGATACGAGTGTCGACAAACTGTGTGTACACTTTCGTTGTTACCATCTATTATTGTCCCCATAAAACTAGTCATTACCGCCGAAGGAGATGGGGTTTCACCTTTCTCATGACGTTGCTCGGTTCATGCAGTGGTCCCATCATGATACGAGTGAACAGCCTTGTGCTCTTCTGGCACCCACGTTTGCACTGTCTAAGTAATCTGGGTTCGCTCCGATCTGCACGTCCTCATTTAGTCGAGTTTCCACCGCAAACAAAATGTGTGGCTATAATTGTGACTGGTGCAGTGCAAGGCATTCCTGTACGCACAAGTGTCTTCTGTCTGTTCCAAGATCCAGATTCGGTAACCATCAGGGTTTTAGTTACTTTTGCGGCTTATTTCCTTTATGTATTGACACGACTACCATCCCTACTATCCGCTTCATAAGGCTCAATTTACCTCATTTTACAGATCCGTAGTAGTGAGCAAATTCAAACTCCACATTGTCACGGTATTTTTCCGGTGACTTATCAGAAAGCATTTTTATGGCATGCCTTACTTCTTATCCGTGACCCACATGAGTAGTTGGATCGAGCACGATTGCTGTCTAATGCATCTCATTTCAATTCTCAACCTTATTTCCAGCTCCGGCTTCTTGTGCGTGTTCGCCAACGATTGGGGTAGAACTGTCCTGTCGTTCGAATTGGAATTGGTTTACGTCTCCGCACGCGCAGTAGAGGCAGCGAACGCCGTACTGGTTAAACGTCGGGTGACGCTCAAACCTCGTCCAACAATCCAGAATTCCACTCCTGCTAGACCTGCTCAAAAATCGGTTGACAAGGACAGCGCGCCTCCGTCCGTTGATAGCACAGCACGCAATCGACTCAAACTCTCGATTGGGACCCCATTGACAAATGTGGCGGACTGCACACCACGAAGTTCATGTGCGCGACAGCTTGGTATTAAAATGAAGCGTCTCCATGGTGACTCTTTTATGTACACAAGTCTTTGTCGGACCATTTTGGATATCGCAGATGTTAGGATTAAGCAGTAACCTCACGTGTAACTATTTTGATCTCCATTGCGATTTTTCGCATTTCAATGACCCCCATTGCAGTACTTCGCTCGTGAGCCGTTTTAGCCACAGAATTGCATTGCTTTTCTCATTGCTATTTTACTTCGTTTTTTGCGAAACAATCACCCAAAATGCTGTTGAATGTTTGTGCGTTGGCATTAGGGTCTTCCATTTGTGTAAATTGTACTCAACCCAGTTTGACTTGGGCCGAGTCTCGTAGATCTTCGTTCTTTGAGCATCCGTGCAGTATTTAGCAGCGTCAATTTCCCGTCTTCTCTCTAACTTTGACACGCAGGGTACTTCTTCAACCGCATGTCCTATACGAATGCAGCGCACTGAGTTTCCGGATACGCAGTACACAGATTAGGTACAGATGATGTGGCGAGAATAATGTGAACTGGAATCGATTCTGAACATTGTTCAGTGATTTCAACTCACAGAACCATATATAAGCAGTCCATCACAACTCATAAGTCACATGAGTCGCTATATTCTGCCTGTAAGTATGCAACTCAGTCGATGTCACTGGGGGGCGATGATTTTCTACGTCTACAAATGTGCTTTAAAACAACACCAGTCTGTTGAACGGTTGCGTGCTGCCTTTGATGATGATGCGCTTTCTTGATCCACCGTGTTTGAGTGGTTTGCGGAATTCAAGCGTGGCGGGCGCTCCATGGGTGGTGAGGCACGGTGTGGTGGTCGTCCTGTGGTGCCCACCACCGCAGACATTGTTGCTGCTGTGCAAGCTTTACTGGTACAGCTAAAAAAGCTATCTGGATCAATCCGGACCATCGTACATGCGAACCTCGGCCTCAGAAATGTTTGCGCACGCTGGGACCCTATCAGCTCAGTGAGAGTCGGAAAGCGGCTCTGGTGAATTGGTACTGCACCATGCTTGTCAGGTTTGATGATGGACGTTTGAAAGCTGTTTGGGAGGTCATCAGTGGTGATGAGACCTGGGTATACAGTTTCGATCCGGCGACCAAGCAACAGTCGGCTCAGTGGACGGTTGTTGGTGGGTCGCCGGCGTGAGTGCAGTGTGGCCACTCAGATGGTGGCTCTGTTCGTGGCCAAGATCGGTCATGTGCCTACTGTATCGCTCGTACGGCAATACACAGTCACCGGAGACTGGTATACCACCCACCATCCGCCACAGGTGCTGGAAGCTGTAGCCAGGCGTCCTCCAAGGATTCGAGCACGAAAGGCCTTGTTGCACCAGGACAACGCACCTGCACACAGGTCCCATGTCGTCGCAGATTTTATGGGTAGAGAACGCATCCAAATGGGTGTTCTCCCACCCTACAGTCCAGGCCTGGCTCCGTGTGACCTTTCCGTGTTCCCAAATGCCATGTGCATGATGCATGGAATCCACTACGAATCTCCAGCAGCTGCAGTAGTGGCCTTTATTGTGCTGTTTGAAGGGTTGTATGCTTCGGCATAGCCTAGGTGCTTCTCCAAATGATTTAAGCGCACGGGACAGTGCATGGACGCTTAGGGAGAGTACTTCGGGAAATTGTAATGCTTATTTTGTTCAACACGGAAACTTACTACTCTACGCTCGTATTTATCATGAACTTCGAAGAACCACAACTTAGTGGCAGAATGGTTAGAGCCACGATTGTATCGACTGCGCGGCACTCCAACGGCTCGGCCGCTGGTATGTTGCACCTTCAGCATGTGATCCACTTGTCGTCTATTTGATTCTCCATAGGTGCGGTTTTTCTCCCAACAATTTCCCAGTTAGCACGCGACCAGTGGTGCAGTAAAACTACGGCACAAGATCGTACTACCGGTATTTAAAACTGCGACCGTTCTCAGCAGCGGTACCTCAGCCATTTGAACTGGTGCTTCGCTGCCCCGCAGCCACAATCTTCTGCGAAATGAAGCATACCGAGAGGGAGCGGACGGGATCTAGCGTAAAACCCTAATCATCTGAGCAGATATTCAAGGTCACGTACCTATACGTTGTCAGCAAATTGCTGTCACAAATATTTGCCGTGCAAATATATATATATATAAAGTCAGGAAAAGACAACAGATATCTTCATTCTTCCTGGCTTTTTGTTCGTCTCCACACGCCATTTTGTTCTCTTTTTGTATCTTAAATAGTATAGCTCCTATCAAATTGTTCGAAACATTTCAATATACAATCCTTCCATTGATTCCGGTTTCGCGCCATATCGCCGTCTGTCCAGCAATTTGCAGTTCTCGTCCATGGGCCCCCACCAGGAGGATGTACAGGACCGACAATTGCGAGACAATTCGGCCGTTTCACGCTTTGCCGCCAAGTGGTTGGCTTGCCTCCACGCATTCTCTTCCAACTCAATCTAGTGTGGGCAAATAAGGCTCGGCGTGGTAAGCACTCGCTTGATATACGTAGAACGTGGCCAAGCCACTTCAATTGATGCATTACGATGAGGCAATTAAGCAGAGGGCTCATGTATCCCCAAGCGCGACACCGGACATCATAGTTGCGAACCCGGTGTTGTCACCACATGCGGGCTATCCGTCGTAAAGATTTGCTGTCGAAGACCGAAAGCTTACGCATGTCACGCACATGAATAGGCTAGGACTCACTTCCGTACAGCAGGAACGCGCGGACACATGCGTGTAGACCATCCCTTTAACGAGAGGGATGTGTCCCGATGACGCCACAAACGACTCAGGTTGCTAAATGTCGACCTGGCTCTGGCGATGCGATGAGACGCCTCTTTCCTAATAGTGCCATCAGCAGATATACAGCTTCCGAGGTAGACAAATTTGTCCACAGCCTCTAACTGTGTTCCTTCGATGGTAACTGAGAGGGCAGGCGACTCCCAGTCCTGGAGTAGCACTTTACGCTTCAAGAGGAAGTGCGCATCCGATACTTAGACGCTTCACTCGCCAGACGATTCAAAATGGGCTGTGCACTCTGTGAATCGTCACTGAGCAATGCGATGTCATCAGCATAATCTAAGTCGGTCACGCGATTGCGCGGAAGAAGCTCAACACCAAGCTTTTGGGACACTTCCAGAGATCACAACTGGACGTCCTCAATTGCAAAGTTAAAGAGGATGGAGGCAAAGCGTACCCTTGTCGCACACCACTAGAGATAGCGAACGGTGAGGAAAGCCTGCCATAGACCCTCACTCTACGTGACACTTGGAAGTATAGCACCCGAATGATAGAAGTGTGCTTTTCAGAGACTCCATTTCTTGGTAGCGCTATAAAGCCTACCGATCGACCGAGTCAAATGCACTTCGAATGTCCAGGAAGACGACAATGGTTGGCTTGCGGTAGAGGTGGCGGTGCTCAAGAATTTGGCGTAGCGTAAAGATTTGGTCTACGCTTCCTCGACAGGAGCGAAAGCCAGCTTGTTCTCGGTAAAACAACTCGCGAATCGGGGATAATCTGCGGAGCAAAGTGGATGCCAGCAGTATGAAAGCAACCGGCATATGACTGATGCCCCTGTGATTAGCACATAATATGCGTGCACCTTTCTTAAATGTAGGGACAATTATTGACTCACCCCAGGTGGATGGAATCCTCTGTTCGTTCCATATCTTTGAAAATAGTGATGTCAACTGCTTGACAAGCTTTGAACAGCCAAACTTGAACATCTCTAGAGAGCGTTGCTCCGAGCCGGGAGACTTGCATCACAACGGAAAACCGATGAAATGGTCCAGGGCATGCATTTTTGTGTACTTGGCATACTAGCGGACAATGGATAGTGGTTGAATTCGGAGTGAACCTGTTCAGCCCAACGCGCTACGCGTCTTTTCAGGTTGGTGGTTCGTGTCCCATCCACTTCACAGATAATTTCGCTGCCAACAGGCCCTCTTGGGCCAGCCAATCGAATGAACCGGAAAAGCTTGCAGAAGTTGCCGAAGGGCGCATCGGTCTCCATCTCCGAGGAGCGCTGAAACAACCAAGTCTCGCGATCATTATGCAAACTTTGTTTGTGTTGCTGATTAAGAGTTTGGCGCATAGAACTATGAGATAACTCTGTTGGCACATTTGGACGGCTGTCAAACAGTTCGGGATAACGTGTGTTGGGTGAGACCAAAATCGATTGACCGGGGGAAAGCATCGTTTCCTGTAAACAAGCCCAATGTTGCGCAACATCCTGGGGTGGACTACAGGTACAGCGTACAGCTGTTTTCTCAACGACAATGTTTGTGTATGTCATATACACAGGACAAAGAAACTAACTGTCGCGATCAAGCATTTCGCACTTGGCTCGGTAACTCTGGCTTTGTAGCAACGTAAAGACTTCGCAATACAATTGTCTTATGGGTGAAATATTTCAAAATCATATTCTTACTTTGCGTCTACGAGAGTCAGGCATTTTCTCGCATAGTGACTAAGTTTGTTTGAACACACACTAATCCAAGCACGACTCGTACGTTACTCCCAACGCTCCTGGAACGTTCTTATCTCTCTTTGGGTACCCATAAACCTAACGAGCTTATGGGGTTCAACAATAAACCTATTCCTCGCCGACTTTATTTTCTTTTTTCAGAATGGTTGGTTAGGTGTACATAACGGCCCACTATTGGTTACACTGTATTCCGCCCCGGTAGATTTTTTGTCACTGCCGCTCTTTGAGTTACCGCGATTGTGCTCTCCGGTTGGTCAAACGGCAATCTTGCCATGGCTGCCGAAATGTACCTGTCTAGACGTAACAACTGGGAGCTTCGGCATTAGAGAAGTGAATATTTCACAATTATTTAGCAACTCAGCCGATCAGGCACACCGTAGGGTGGTTTGTTCAAGGTCATCCTCACACACGCGTGACGTGCGTGCTCCTGCTTCATTTGGATTATTCCCCTCTATCCTCTCTCCATCTTCTCGCAGCGTTGTCACTGTACGCTCATTCGAACCGGATTTACCAGCTCTGCACAGTGATCCATCATACGTGGAAATATCTTCTACGATTAGAGGCTGTGCCATCACTAAGCGATTTCACTGGCATCTGTGATTAAGCGCAAGCGTTTAATTCAATCGTATTGAGCCGATTGCCATTCTGTGTGACACCATTCGATACAGAATTCTCGAGGCAGGCCGAAAAGCCTAAGCTTACTCCGATCCAGTGTTTTTCAACACAGCCGTGAAAGAATCTGTGTTCAGCGCTCTGTTCAGGTTGCAGTCACTCGCCATTCCTTGTGACCTTGTCAGCCAGTGCGGCTGCATTACCCATCACACGGACCGCGCGACCACGCCGACCGCTCATTTGACCTTGCAACCACCACGCTCGCCTGACCGATGTGCGCCGCTCTC